CGGCTGCAGCACGCGCTCCTAGGTACTTTGTGAGAGAGTGGGGTGGGCCATGTATCAACAAAGTAGTATATATTTATATCTATTTATTGTACTTGTTGGCTATAAACTTGGCTATATGTGACATGGCAACATCATATAGCCAGCAGCTGGCTATATTATTAACCATGCTCTAATGCACCTAAACGGAAGTAGTACATATGATGTTAGTGTATAATACTATTTTTATAGTGCATAGTATCATATAGTAGTATTATAGATTATCTTATTTATTAACATACATTACACAAAATAGCATAACATTTAATATGATACGGTATCTATCTATGTTATTTTAACCCTCTCTTTCTTCTTTAATTTCTGTCACATCAGCGTGTTTGCTATTTCCAAGTGCATGATACTAGCTAAGATGTCACCACTATGATCAGCCTAAAGATTTTTGGCTCGACGAACAAGGATACGCATAATGACAGTAACAAGCGAGTATGTATAAATCACACTAACAAGCGCATACAAGTATATACATGGTCATATTGTTTTTTTTAAGTTACGTGGTCATATTGTTAGGAGCCCTCCTACCATCACTTGCTTGGGCTGGTCTGGCCCGTTCGGGGACCACCAAGGCGATAAGAGCATCTACAGCCGGACGGCTCAAACCATCTCTCATATATCCGCGGGTACGTCCGGTCAGTGATCAGACAGGAGAAAAAAATGACCCAACTGGACCCCTCATATCGTTTCTATACGTCCGGACTGTTCGTGAACCCTCATATGCATCTCAAATGCAGGGAGGATATGAGGGCTCACAGACACGCCTGGGCACGCCCGGTCAGTCCGCCACCTAGGACGCGGCCCCATCCCGGACCACCTTTTCCCTTTCTTTATTTATTTTTTCTTTCTCTCTCTCTCTCTCTCTCTCTCTCTTCATTTTCACCATTCACGTGCAAATGGCAGGACATATGAGGAAGAAAATGAGGATTGTGGCTGCGCAGACGGACAAATAGGAGCTCAAAACGGACACGCCCGGTCAGCGCATCCGTGGACGTTTGAGGGGTCAAATTAGTGGTATGTGGTTGTAGATGCTCTAAGAGCCTGGGAGGAGGCGACGTCGAGAGCATCCAGTGGATTACGGACGGCTCTGCAACGGCGGCTCTCTTCTCCTACCTCTCCTCCTCTCTCTAATGTCCCCAATTCATCTGTAATCCAATCTCTGTACCAGATCATGTGTGTGAGAACTATAATTTAGGTAAGAGATATCTGGTACCTTACATCTGGTATTCAGAGCCAGGCCACCACCCAATTTTTCTTCCACAGCTAATTCATCTGTTCCATCGGCGATGACGCATGCCCGCTGTCTTACCACCAGAGGGATGCCATGTCTGCCAAGGAGCTCTTGTTGTGGTATCTCGAGAGATTATGCGCTAAGGTGGAGGAGATGAGCTCAGTGTTGGGTATTGCACGCATGGGTGACCCTCCCGTGGTTACCTCGCTTGTCGATCCCGCAGCCTCAACCACAACGCACGCCTCGTCCACGACCATCCCCGACGTCTCCTGCTCCAACACCAAGGCCAGGAAATGCTCGAGGTTATCCACGACATGCCCCCTGCCTGCACCACGAGGGCGCACATCACCTGTTCGACGGATGGCTCGACTCAAGTTGTCGCCACCAACAACCTCATTAACAAATCTCGGCATCGTGCCTCGTTCGAATTACTTGGTCTTCGACAGGTCGACTATGCGCCTACGATTATTCTAAGGTTACATCTATATTTTGTTGCCGAAAGTTACAACATCAGAAATGGTGTGGCACTGAATGTCTAGCAAAATAACGCACTTGAAGTACAAGAAAGTAAATCAAGAAGGTGAAACGCGAAAAGGAAAATTAAGCGTGATATTCCAGGATCTGAATCAAGAGCAAAGTACTCCGGCAGGGACAACTAAGTAGCAACCTGGGGCGCCGTGGGCATCTTCAAGGCCGCTAGGATCGTAGGCGGCCACGGCAGCTCATACGCGCACTCCGCGGCGTGGTGCTTGTCCTGGAGAGTCCTCCTCCTCTCCCTGGGCGGACGCCGTCGCCGGGCAGAGCTTGGCGCTCGACTTCCTCCCGCAGCTCGGCAGCGGTGGCTGCTGGGAGCTTGCCGACTGCCAGAGCGGCCTCCTCCTCCTCCTCGACGCGGCGCCGCCGTCACACCTCCTCCTCTTCGACGCGGCCCCATCTTCACGCCTCGTCATCTGCGATCCTCTGACGCGGCGCTACAGGCTGGTCCCTCCCTCGGCGTGGTTCCACGGCTGCGATTTCCTGGGTGCCTTCCTCCTCGACGGCGAAGCCGCCGTGGCCGCAGGCGCGTGCATCAGCCTGTCGAACTTCAGCGTGACGTGCGCGCTCTATCGCCACGGATACGGCATAGCCAGGGCCTGCGCGTTCTCGTCCGCCTCCGGCGGCCGCTGGACCTCCGTTGCGGCGCGTAGGAGTACGGCGCTCTGCGGCCACGAGTTCTGGGAGAGCAATGGGATCAACAGCATCTACTTCGCAGGCAACACCGGCGGGTCCGCCTACTGGAGGGTCGGCAGAGACCAGCTCGTTCTTGCTCTGGACAAGGACGCCGCTGAGTTCTCCTCTTCCGTCCTGCCGGACACGGAGTACGCCGTGGGACGAAGACGGGGTTACATCCAGGCGGACGCGCGAAGCGGTAGCGGCGCTCGTCGACACGGTAGTGGCCGACAATGTGGGCGGACGACGCGCCGAGGAGCGAGCGGAACCGACGGAGGAAGCACCCGCCGTCCGCTGCGATTACGCGGCGCCAGCGCCTGCAGGTGCATGCGGCGCGGACGAGGTGGAGAGGCGACGGCAGCCGCAGGAACACCTGCTCGAGAAGGTCGTTGGGGACGACGTCATTTGCGAACTCCGGCGCGCCGTCCCTCCGGCGGCGGCCGCCCCCCATGGTGGCCCGGAACGTGGGTGACCGAATCGCCCAACGAAAATTATCAGTCAAATCTTATGTAAGGAAGAGAATGGTTATCACGTTTAACTGATTTGTAGCGGTGGATCCATGCGATGCGCGGCACGTCCCGGGATCGGCGGCGACGTCACCGGCACGCTTTGATCGCCTCGCGTTCATAAATCCCAACAAAATCACGTTTTTTTGGGAAACAAAATCACGCATTTGGAAGGGAATGACTCTGCGTCAGTCGACTCAATCGTGACCAGTTGATTCTATCTGAACCGTTGGATCTTGATCCAATGGATCTGCAGTCATCTTCCACCTTAAACCCGACGCACACTGTTTATCATCTTCCTTTGGCCGCCCTCCGGCCTAGGCCGAACCGCCAGCCTCCGCCGCCCCGCCCTCCCTTTGATCTCCCCGCCCCGTCAGGCTTGCCTCCGCCCCCGCCATCCCTCTAGCCCCGCACCCATCTAGTTTTCTTCTCCGGCGAAGCCACACCATCGCACCACCACCGCCGTCCACCACCGCCCCCATCCTGAACCCTACGATAGATAATGGGGTGATTATGGCCAGCCCCTTCCTTCTCTCCAGCAAGGCCATTCCTTCTCCTTCCTTCACTCAAAATCGACTAACCCAAAACTAAAAAGTCAGCTGACTGGAATGTACTCGCTCCGTCTCATAATGTAAGACATTTTTTGACAGTACACTAGTGTCAAAAAAACGTCTTACATTATGGGATGGAGGGAGTAGTTAATATGTACTTGGAATATGGATTTGTTCTCATCTAGATGAGAAAATAAGTATGTCACATCCAAGTAGTTTACTACACGACCAAGAGCATGAAAATTTTGTGCAAACTGTTTGATCGCCCGCGCTGATTGTGCGTTGCTTGTGGGCTGTTTTTCCTCAGCCTACTTGTTTATGTTTGTATGTCTAGCCCTATGCATTAGTCTGCACTAGAGAGTGTGGCTTTTTTGGGTTGTTCTTTCAAGTGGGCTGGAGGTAGAATGCTAGAAATCCTACCAGAAATAGTACAAAGAAATCCTTCAATTTCCTATGAATCAAATAACCAACATAAAAAAAACTTAAACACTCTCGTTCTCCAAAAATCCTATGAACCTCGTTTCAATCAAAGGTGCCCATAGTTTTCTTTTTCTTTTCTAACATAGTATGGACAAAGACACTTATATACTCATCTCTATGAACACACACATGCATACTCTATCCGTGTGAGCACTTTCGAGAGACTGGGCTAGCACATCATTTAAGAATAATGAAGTTGTCACATACGCTTTCATAGTCAACGAAAACGTCTTCTTTCACTGAACACACATCGTAAGAAGATCTAAAATAATTGCAGAAAATTATGAGCACCAAAGTCTAGGACTTAAACTCTGTGTGCTGGGGATACCACCTCCTGCTAACCATCCAACCACAGTTGGTTTCGTGAGTCTGTAGCTGTTGGAGTGGTCATTTTCGCGCGCCCTGGTGGCGATGTAATGTAACCCGGCTAATTAGTTAGGTTCTCAATCAATGTGATCTCGTTCGCCTCTCGCCTTCTCAGCGACACACTGAGTTGGTTCGCCTCTCGCCCATCGGTTCTAGGAATGCTGCTGCCCTGCCTGTTCCAGGAGTGAGACATCACGACAAATTGAGCGGTACGTATAGTTCAGCATTTGCATCTTCAATTTCTTTCTGTTCAACGACACAAAAATCACATTTCTCGTGGGAAAATTTATCTTTCGTCACGAGAGAGGACTCCATAGTCCTCTGCTTCGTGAGACCGATGTACTACTACGTACTACACTTCATCTGCAGCAACGCCGCCGTACGTCGTTCCTCCGTTTGCTTGTTTGTTTCCCGGCGGGGGGATAGGCTAGTAGACGGCGTGGCGGCACATGGGGCAATGGGGCTTCCACAGCAGCCAGCTGTCGATGCACGCCAGGTGGAACACGTGGCCGCACGCCGGCAGCCTCCTGGCGCTCTCGCCGGCCTGGAACTCCTGAGCAGGACAAGAACATCATCTCGTCAGCTAATCAATGGCACATTGGCGCTATACTACATCACTGGCTCGGATGAGAAGCTAGCTATAGCACTGACATGGAGGCAGATGGGGCAGGTGGTGTGCTGCCCCGCGCCCGCTGTCTCCTTGGTGAGCACCGTGGCCGGGAGGCTCTCGACGGCGGCCCTCCGCGCGGCCGTCACCGGGCCGGAGCTCGGCTCGAAGAGGTCGCCTCGGAAGGAGTGGTGCTGCTGCAGCGCCTCGATCTGGCTGTCCAGCGCGCCGCTTATGGCCGGGAACAGCGAGCCGCGCAGGAGGCGGCCGACCGCCACGCTCCGGAGCACCAGCCGCTGCAAAATGAACTCCATAAAATTAATTGTCAATCTTGGTCAATGACGATCGAATCTCCAACTTGGCGGCTTGCGAAGCGTACCGTGCGTTTGATGCGCGCGTCCATGGAGCAGTCGCCGCAGGTCCATATCCTGAGGAGGGAGTCGGCGAGCTCCACGGAGACGAGGGCCCCGGTGACCGCCCCGACGACCACGCCCTGCACCAGGCCGTCCTGGTTGACGAAGCCCCACAGGAGGCCGAGCATGCCGCCGATCACCGTACCGGCTGCACACAATGCACCTCGGTTAATCTATCCCCATAAGATCGTTTAATTATGGCGGGAAAAAAATGCACTACCTCCATTTCATTTTACAAGTCCTATGCGTATACCTAAATTGTCAATTTTATCATCCTAATATAAACTTTATAACACAAAAATTATAGCGCCTCACGTACCTGCGCCGAAGGCGGCGACCACGAGCGAGCGCGCCAGCCCGCCGGCTGCTCTGGTGGCCACGTCGAGCATGTTGCTGCTACGTTCACGTACGAAGGACCAGAGTCTAAGGAGTTTGTGACGGACGTATTGCGATGGTCGTCGATTGAGATCGAGCACGCACGCACCTACGTACGTACCTATCGACACGGAGGCGGAATGGAGGAGAAGATAGCGGACGCGTGCGCATATATATGCGGAGGCCTGTGGTGTGCAGTAACACGCGGCAGCGGAATGTCGTTGCTCCGGGCGCTCCCGGTCGACGTCGAGGGCGGGCGAGGCGGCCCCAAGCAAGCACGGATGGAGTTAAGAGGGCGTCTGGTCTGAGGGTACTGAAGCAAGCAAGCGCGACGGCACAGGGAGGGCACCGGGCGGACGAGCGGTACAGGAGAGGACCTCTCCCCGTCGCCGGGGGTTGGGGGCGTTGGTTGCGCTTTGCCCCGCCCGGCCGGGACCGGGACCACGCCGCATGCATGCACGGATGGGATTTGCTTTGCCGATTGGTATACGTCGACTAGAGTGACGACGCACAGAGAATCGAAGAAGCGGTTGATGCGCGCGACCTGTGCTCTCAGCCTCTCATGTACTACCTTGCACCCAACTGTGTACGTCCAAGTTCGAGTTTGAGCGATCGCCGGCCAGACGACAGCAACTTGTCGCCGCCCCGGCCGCTCCGCGTCTACGTCGGGGACCGGCGAGGCGAGCGGTTCCTATGTACGGATGGAGCTTGGAGGAGGAGGCCATCAGAGCATCTACAGCCGGACTAATTTGGCCCCTCAAACACCCGCAGACGCGCCCGGTCAGCGTTCCGGGCATGTCCACTTTGATTCCCTATTTTTTCGTTCACGCAATCCTGTCCCTCACTTTTCTTTATATATGTCCGGGCACATGCATGTAATTGGTGGAGAAGGAGAGAGAGAGAAAAAAATAAAAAAATAAAAAAGATGCTCTATGGGGGTCTAATCCTATGTGGCGGACGCGGGACCGCTGACCGGGCACGCCCGGACGCTCCTCATACTCATTTCATATATGAGATGAATATGAGGGTTGGGGTTGTCGGACAACCCGACCATTTAAGGAGGCTTTGAGGGGTCTGGTTGGTCAACTTTTTACCGCTTTTTCCTTCTCTCTCATGTCCGGCCAGTGGTCCCTGTTCCCGTCCGGTCAATTTGAGGAGTCCGACTGTAGAAAATTTTGGGACCAGTGCTCATTAATGAGCGGGCACCCCGCACTGGCCCCTTTGTTGGCATGCAGACCTGCGATTCTCAGGGGAGCAATTAACCAATGCTTATTGACGATGCCATGAACCTAGGGTAGGGTCATAGGCCTGACCTATACGCCCTGTCCAAGGTCACTACCCTAGAAGCAAAGACATACAAAGTATAGCGAGGAACACCGACTGAAGTAACCATGGAGTGCAATCCACTCGACCAGTCACTTCACTCGGATACCCCCAATTTCACTCGACCTGGATGAAGTCATTCGACCACGCAGGAAACCACTCGGAGTACAGAAGACCTAGAGTCACTCAGGATGGCAACGGTCAGGCGTTCACTCCGTAGTCTTAAAGATCATTAATAGCGCTTTATAGCTGGCGTTACGAGTAATGCCCTATCTTAATGTACATTGAACCCCTGTAACGGAGGACGGCTGGGGTCCTGGTGCACTCTATATAAGCCACCCCCCTCCTCTGGGACAAGGGTTCGCACCCCTTGTAACACACACCCATATTACAGTCGACCGCCTCAGGGCACCGAGACGTAGGTTTTTTACCTCCTCCGAGAGGGGTCTGAACTCGTAAGCTCATGTGTACAACCTCGTCGTAGCTAGGGCCTTGCCTCCTCATACATACCCCCTACTCTTACTGTCAGACTTAGTACCACGACAGTTGGCGCCCATTGTCGGGGGTTGGATACGACATATGCCAAAGGATGGCTTATCATGGTGGGAGCGAGTAGAACGTCGTCGATGCCTGGAAGCGGGATGAGGCGATGACATGCACGCTGGCGAAACTTACCCAGCTTCAGGGCTCTCCTAGGAGATAACACCCCTACTGCTGCTCTGCGGGGTCTCCGCATGATCACTAAGGCAAAGTGACTACAATGGTGCTCCTGGAGCTGTTTCGGGAGGCAGGAGAGGGCAAGGCTAGCTCTCTCCTTCCTATGCTATCTGGTCTATCTCTATCTAGGTCCGAACCCTTTGCATGGGTGCCCCGGGGGGTTTATATAGGCCTACCCCCCGGGGGTACAATAGTAATCCGGCTGGGCGCGGGTCCCAGCCGTCTGTCTCTCAGGCCGCCGTCCTTCCCGCCGGCTTTTGGGGCCGCCGACTGGTGGGTCCCGCGGACAGGCTTGATACTGTAGCGGCACTCTTGATGACGCAGGCTTGGTCATTGGGTCGTGGCAACAGTGTCGCCGTCTATCGGGCGATCACTGTCGCCATTCCCCATCCTATCTGGTTAATGGCTCGTGGGGCCCTGGGGAGGAGTCGGCCGACTCCAAGGAGGCCGACTCCCACAGGTCCGTCTTCGGGCGCCCAGGCCGCCTTCGGCCCACCCACTGACAGGCGGCCCCGCCGTCTTCGGGCCGTACAGGCCGGCGTCGTGGGCACAGTGCGTGGCGCACTGTGGCTGAGGTCAGGGCAGGCATGGCAACAATGTCGCGCCTCGTCGGAGATCTTCCAGCGATACGGCTCACTGTAGCCATGCCGGCCCTTCATAAGCAGGGGGAGAACGGCCACGCCGTGACCGTACCCCACATCGTACTTCGGGATGAGGGAGAAGTCATGGGCCGACTCTCCATAGTCGGCCTCTCTGGAGGTCGCCACCTCGGAGTCGGCTTGTCTCGGAGTCGCCGTCTGGGATTCGGCTTGTCTCGGAGTCGCTCCTGGGACTCGGCTTGAGGGGCGCGGCCTGCCCCGATGTCTTGAAAGGTCCTGGGACTCGGGTTAGCCTACCCGTGGCCCAATACTCCGACAGTAGTCCCCGAAGCTGGTGAAGCCCTGCGGACGCTCAATTGTGGGGCTTCAACAGTTTCAACCTTCCAGGAGCGGACTCTGGAACTCGGCTGCCGTCTTCCCTTGGGCCGACTGTCGAGGGTCGGATGTTTTAGAGAAGAACCCCAGCTTGAAAGTCGCGGCAGGAAACCAGGCGGCGTGCCTGATACCCTTCCCCGCAGCCATCAGGGCGGTCCTATCGCGCGGCGCCACATGGAGAGGGCAGTCTGCCTGCCCACGCGCGCGACGGGACGGGCCATCAGGTGGGGCCCGCCACTACCGTGCCTCGGCATACGGACGGATCCGCTGCGGCCGTGGACGGTTAGTTTTCCCACGTCGTTACTGCGTGCAGTAACTTCGTGGGGTGGATTGTGGGGCGGCGTGGGGGCGTCGTGCGCAGTTAATCCCATGCCCGCCCCCTCGGCTCCTCAACCGGCAGGGCTATAAGTAGGCGGGGGGGAACGGAGCGGCACAACACACGCGCCCTTCTTCCCCGCTCCCCCGCTTCGTCTTGCCTTCTCTCCTTCCTGTCTCCGCTGTTGAGCAAGAGCACTCCACACCGCGGCGATGAGCTCCTCCTCCGCCGCGGCCCCCGCCGTGCGCTCCGGCGTGTGGGACGGCTCGGAGGTAGAAGAGGAACACATCGAGTTCCTCCGTCGGACACGCCGTCTTCCCAGCGCGGACCTCGTGCGCGCCCGCGCCGCGCCGGAGGGGGAGATCCGGCCGGCACCGGAGGAGGGCGAGCAGGTCATCTTCCGCTCGCACCTCATGCGCGGCCTGGGGCTGCCGGTGAGCGGCTTCTTCCTCTCGTTCTTGGAGTTCGACAGCCTTCAACCGCACCACCTCACTCCGAATACGGTGGTGTTGCTCTTCGCCTTCGCCACTCTGTGCGAAGGTTTCCTCGGCGTTCTCCCCACCGTCGAGCTGTGGGGAGAATTCTTTTCTTCTAAGCTCGGCACGCACATCGCCGGCGTGCCGGCTCAGTGCGGCGCCTTCATCGCAATGCAGCGCTCGACGGCCGACAACCCCTTTCCTCCCATCACGCTGATTAAGTCGGTGAAGATGTGGCAGCGCTCATATTTCTACATGAAGAACCTCGCCTCCGACGGCGACTGGGTCAACCTGCTACCATACAGCGCCGCCCCCCTAACTGGGAGGCTCCCCAGCTGGTCTCACCGAGTCAAGACGCTGACTCCCGTCGGAGCCGCCGCCGTAGCGCGACTCCGAGTCTTGACGCAGTCGGAGGGTCTCGTTGGGGCCGACTTGCTGGCCGCCTTCGTGGCGCGCCGAGTTCTCCCGCTCCAAGGTCGGCCTCACCTGATCTGTCAGACGAGCGGCCTCCGAGACCCGGGTCGGATGTGCACCAAGGAGATGCCCCGCGCGGAGGTGGCAAACATGGTGAATTATATCGCGAACTGCGAGTTCGGGGAGGACTGGCAGTTCGGCAAGGAGCCGTACTCGCGCGACAACCCCCCACCAGTGGTAAGTCGCGTCCCTCTATTGTTTTGTCTTCTTTGCGGCTGACTCCGGCTTCTGACTCTTGTCGGTTTCTTCTGAGCTAGAATCCCCTTATGCAGCCTGCAGCCGGCGCCACGAGATAGCCCCGTGAGTATGTCCCCGATCGTGCGGAGAGCGACGTCGACGACCCCGACTTGGGGGCGGCGGCGATGGAAGCCGACGCCGAAGGCGGGGGAGGAGGAGCAGAAGGCGACTTCAGGCCCTCGGCCACCTTCGCCGACTGGCCTGACGATGACGCCGAAGGCGAAGTCGCTCCGCGCCACCAGCTGAGGATCGGGTCGTCGGGCGCCGGCTCCTCCGCCGGCCTGGCCGGCCAAGACGGCACGAAGAGGCGTCACGCCTGGCCGAATGCGCCCGGCGACAAATTGAAGAAGTTCAAGGGGGCGGCCGCCGCAACCGGAGGGGAGGAGGCGGCCGCGAAGGCCAACCGCTTCCGAAGGGAAGTGAGAAGGCCGCCGCTAGTCTCTGCGTAAGTGTTTACGCTTTTTTATTTTCCTTCGTTGAATTTTGTCTGAGTCTTC